ATAGAAAATTCAAAAACCATTATAGTTATGAAAAAAATTGAGCACAAAAAACATAATTTGACATCTTCCAATGTACAAAAGATTCCAGCAGAAGCTACAACTATCAAACACTGCTGGAAGAAAAGCCAGATCGAGGTGTGAAATTGTGCAGTTCAGTTCCAACTCACTCCAAGAAGATATCTCGAGTGACGGTACCATCATGAAAGCTAAAGCTGACGACAGTATCACCAACCAGGAGCCATCAGCCAAAAGAGCGGCCGTGAAGATTCCTAGTTCCTTCAACCACATCAGACATCCTCGGTGGTAAAATGTCATCTGCCAGTCTGGCCTTGAGAATTATCTCACTTTCTGCTGACATGCCTCTATATCATTGATTCAAGCAAAAGATCAGTTGCATTTAGTAGTTTCCGTTGGGATCTGCATTCTCTTGGGGAATCTACTAAACTTCCTTTCACGAACTTCATTCAGTTTAGAGAAACACCACATCCATAATATAAACATCTTTTTGAACATGTCAATTCACAAGGGTTGGTTGCATGACATCAAAAAACTTCCTGCACAGAATTTTACAGGAACAAACATGAAATGTCAGAGCTGCAAAGCTAAGTCTGGCTGCTGAGAGTCCTTAAGAATCCCTGAAGAGTGCCGAACAGGAGATCCAGGGGGCTGGAAACTAATGTTCAAGTCTGGAGGGCAAGCATTCCTAGTATGCTTGTTTTCTGTTTGTGGAAGCAGACCTTGCCGTGGAGCCTGGCCTTGAAATCTGGGCATATCGGTTGCGATTAGTTGTGGGAAGATAACCAGTCCTCTGTTATGAACCTGTGGTTCTAAACCAACCACCTGAATGGGTTGCCTAAGAGCTTGAGGCATGGAGGTTGTCCTGGAATTATCAGAATTCCCGGGGGATAAGGTTGGTGTCGTCCAGGAAGAACCAATAAAATAAGTAGAAGCGGATCCATTTGGATTGTCACAAACATTCACAGGCTCAACTGATAATTTAGATTGCAAGGAATTCCCGACAGACATCCATGATCGAGCTGCAGCCGCATCTGCAGTAATTGAACTTTCTGTACTGGTTGGTGGAACAGTTGATGGCAGAAGTTTAGAAGAATCAACAGAACTGTTCGTGATGTTTGACTGGTTAAACATCTTGATTGGCAAACCCATTAATCTTGAAGGATCACTGAGGCCATGCTCATGACTACCAAATATCCGGCGGTCGTTACCTACAATTCCTTTTTGAGACTTGGAGACAAATCCCATAGTATTATTAAGACTATTAGTGCTATAATTCTCCAGGACTTTCCCATGACTAAATTGATCAACATTAACTCTTCCATCAGTTGTACTGCATGGCACCATTGCCTCTGTTTGTTTTAAAGGTTCGTGCTGCATAGGTTTTCTGCCTAATGAAATGTTCCCAGGAGATTTAAAACTGGCAACACCTGTATTAATTTCAGGCCTTTGTAAAGCTTGACTTACCAATCTGCTATTTGAGCAAGATTTAAAACTGGCAACACCTTGTTCCTTCTGCTGCCGTAACATAACAGCATTTCCCCTTTGTTGGGTTTCAGACGTAACACTAGACGACTGTTGCTTCACTTGTGTAATGCCACAGAGATTATTTCCCTCCTTCATAGGATCAGAACTTCTACTACTGTAACTTCTAGTGCCTACCTGACTCTGGATTCCAAAATTTACTTCCTTTGAATGATCATTATCGCTGGCATTTCTCCCCGCTGCAGTCCCTTTGTCCCTCGATGGCATGTTGGTTTGCAAGGATGTATTGGTATCCAGCTGGCACTGTTCTAGCTGGTTATCTTTTTCAAGAAAAAGAATAGTAGTGGGAAGTGGTTCATATTCCCCAACCCATCCAGAGCCAAACTTCACACCAGAAGGCAAAGCACTTTCAATTCTCTGTGAAGCAATTCTCCAGGCAATGGGCCCAAGATCACCAGCAAAACGAGCCAGGCTCCTTGCATATGAGTATTCTGCATCAAGTCCAACCTGATTCAAGAAATACAAAATCAGACGGGCATGGAAACATGAAAGATATCTATAAAGTGTAACTTTTATAACATACCGGAACCAGCTGCCTTTGCTTGCCCTCAAGAACATCATAAACAGTGCCAGATTCTGTTGCAGGCTGTTGGTCACAGACATTATAAGTGGCACGCCGATTTTCATCCACATCAAGCGACTTCATCCCAAGCTTAGATGGAGACCCTTTTACTGGAAGAGAACAAATCAGATAGGTATTAGATAAAACCAACAGATAACATTAAAAAACAAAAGAAGTTGATGATATAAATTCCCACTTAAATTTTAGTCAGATATCACTTTGCCCATCAGATGCTCAATCTAAACGCTTCACCCACCTTTGGTTATTTACATTGCATAGACAATCTTCTGTCACCAACTAAATTACATAACATTAAGTTATTGACAATGTCATGAGAAATTCATGGAATCATTGATGTGCAGGCACATTTATGCCAATGCAACTCCAATTAGGTGCGTCTCTGGTGATTCTGTACTGTCATGATAAAGCTGTGAATACACGACTCCTAAACTACATGCCAATAAGCAGCAAATAAAGGCCACAAGCTTTGGTGTATACACTGCAGAGACATGACACTATGCTGTATCTATATAGCCATAACATGATGTCGATCTGGCATCAATTAGGCTGATGCACAACCTATGTCACTATGTGGGCTAACATTTACATCACTATATTAAAATTTCATCTCTTTTATATTGGATTCTAAATCTAGGACTATCTAGACCCTTTGTTTACAGTGTAAAGGGCATTTTGCCTAATAATCTAACAGTTTAGCGTGAGGTGGGAAAGGAACTGTAGCTATCGAATGGAATAAATCTTAGGTGGGATTTGTGACAAAGAGTATATCACAGGTCAGTGAAGTAAAATCAGACTACATCACATGAGAAACACTATATTTACCCAACAAAATAAATTGATCAAATGGATTAAATCGATGTCACCATAGAAGCTACTGAAAATTATCATCTTCTGGTGAACTTGACTCTTGAACATAATCAGATGCTGCAGCAATATTGCTATTGCAAACGATCAGGTTGGCCAGCTGGTTCTTGAACTTTAAATGTTTAAAGCTAAAAACTGGATCATTTTAGATAAAGCTTCAGGACATATTCTTCGAGCATCATAACCTATTTTAAAGAATCAAACCACGGAACACACAGTTGAAAGCTTTTGATGACCATACCTCTAAGGTCATCCACCTTCTCTGATTTACTCTCACCTAGAGAACAACTGCCATCAGCAAGACCATTGGAAGCACTAGCAGGCTCCGCGCCACTAGCTTCTGCTGTGCTCAAACCGGTACAGGGATCCCCTCCAGAAGGATGAGTGGTAGCAGA